AAATTGGTTAAGCCGAATTTGAAGGTGGTGGTGGAGGGAATACAGTGAATGTGTTCATGTAGAGGCAATCTGTGGGTAGAGGTCTTCAGTGAATAAAGTGAATTTGGTGATGCTAAGTTTGTATACAATTTTGAGCTAATATAGAGGGTGAATTATTAAGGTAAGTGGTGAAAGGAATTAATACTCAACTAAATTGGTTGAATAATTTCAATGAACCCTGGTGTGTGTAAAATGAGGCATGTAGGTGGAATGAATTCAATGAATGGTAGGTGATGTGTGTAAAATGAATGGTAGGTGGTTGAAACGTATGGCACCTCTATAGGTTGAATGCATTTCAACTGAGGCAATAATTGAATGGCAACATCAACATCAATAATGCATGGCATCAATAAATGAATGGCACAAATAATGCATACTAATAAATTCGTATATTGAATAAAATCATGGGGTTTCTTCAATAAATATGAATTGTGAATAAATGAATTATTTAAAAATTGATGAATCTTTCAATATTTAAGTATAAGAGTAGCATTTTAATATAAGACTTCCAACAACATCAGTAAGCATTTTCTCATTATTTTGTAACTGATTAAGACATGGTTATTATCATTTGTAATTCTTTGGTACTTAAATTTATGTGGATATATCTAACCAGACAACATTTTTAAATCAACCATGCTGCAGACCTCTAGTGGGGGTCGCACCCCCAGTGAGGTGGTGAGCCCCCACTGGTTGAAACTCAAAAAAATAAAAATAAAAAAAATAAAACAGTTTTTTTTACCCAATCATGGCACGCCACCTCACTGGGGGTCGACCCCCAGTGGGGGTCGGAAGCATTTTTCTTTTTAAATTATGAATTGAACACTGAACAATTCTCAATATTATAGATTGGATCATCACAACAGCACATCATAACTTATCAATATCAACTACTTGGTTAATATTGATAAAATTATGAAGAGTACAAACAAGACAACCTCCCATTCCAAAACTATAAACAAAAATACATGTATTGATGTGGTGAATTTAGTGTTCACCATGAAGATGCCACATATGTTCTACTAAATCATTGCGGAGGGCATGATATGCGTCCTTATCTCTAATACCTAAATGACGAGACAAAAATGATTGGAAGTCATTGGTAGGAGTAGAGGAAAGTTGCACTGGTGTGTTCGTTGATGAAATTTCATAACCAAAATCAAGGTGCTCCTCCCTCTCATCTTCGACAATCATATTATGTAATATAATGCAACTCTTCATTATGTTGGCAAGCATTTTCGGATCCCAAAAACGTACAGCACCACCTATAATTGCGAATCGAGATTGAAGGACTCCAAATGCCCGCTTTACATCTTTCCTGGTAGACTCTTGCATTATTGCAAAATGTTCTCTTTGCTCCTTGGGGAGAAGAAATTGTTTGAACTAGTGTTGTCCATTGAGGGTATATACCATCAGCAAGGTAATAACCCATATCGTAACTATGTCCATTAATAGTGTAATGGATAGGGGGAGCTTTACCTTGCGCAAGATCAGAAAACAAAGGCGATCGGTCCAACACATTCAAGTCATTGTGTGAGCCAGGCATTCCAAAAAATGCATGCCAAATCCATAAGTCATAAGATGCTACTGCTTCAAGAATAATGGTTGGCTTTTTTTGATGGCCTACATATTGACCTTGCCATGCTTTTGGACAATTTTTTCATTCCCAATGCATGCAATCTAAACTTCCCAACATACCAGGAAACCCCCGAACCTCCCCAATAGCAAGTAATCTAGCAATGTCAGTTGGTGTCGGAGATCTCAGATATTCTACTCCAAAGATTTCAATCACCGAATTACAAAATTGTTGCAAACTTTGAATTGCAATACTTTCCCCGATACGTATGTAATCATCAACTGCATCTGTTGCGACACTATATGACAATATTCTCATCGCTGAAGTCATTTTTTGTGTGACCATTTAAGTCATTATGATAAGTCAAGTTTGATAAAGTACTAAGTACAGTCTCATTGAGTAGTAAGTGTGACTTAAATGAGTGGTAGTAAGGAGAGTCTTATTGAGTAGTAAGTGTGATTCAAATGAGTGGTAAGTCAAGTCTGTTGAAATAGTAAGTACAGTCTCGTTGACTAGTAAGTGTAGTTTAAATGGCTGATAAGTCAAGTTTGATAAAGTAGTAAGTAGAGTCTCATTGAGTAGTAAGTGTGATTCTGATAAAGTAGTAAGTACAGTTTCATTGAGTAGTAAGTGTGGTTTAAATGAGTGTTAAGTCAAATCTGATAAAATAGTAAGTAAAGTCTTATTGAGTAGTAAGTGTTGTTTAAATGACTGATAAGTCACGTTTGATAAAGTAGTAAGTAAAATCTCATTGAGTAGTAAATGTGATTCAAATGAGTGGTACGTCAAGTCTAATAAAGTAGTAAGAACAATCTTATTAGCTTGCAAAGAAAAAATTACACAAAACTTTTTCAATCCTTTACGAAATTCTTTTTTTTTTAAATATTTAAAAATTAAAATTTTCTTTTCATTGCACAGAACAAAACAGAGTTAATTGTTAAGGGGAAATTACTAAAAAGTAAAAGGTGGGGAAAATAATTACTAAAGGATATGGAATGTAATTCACATAAAAAATTGCACCTCCAACTGTGAGTGTTGATTTCCGACCATACAACCAAAAGGGGGAACTCAGTTGGAGAGTACCGGCGGAATAGATTAAGCCCAAACAACCTGTCACAGAAAGATAAGAATCCCGCGGTGGTTCGTCCACTCGGGGGCACTCCGACGATCAAGTCAATAAAATATCTCTCAAAGATAGCCAATAGTGCTTAACTCACTAGACAAAGCATAAAAGACATATCTTAGACCCATGGGGATGCCTCCCTTTTATAGCCAACACAATCCTAGTCTCAATAAAAGCCTAGTTCTAATGGACTTACGATTACTGCTAATCTTGGACTCCCAATAGGATTAGGATAAACTCTCCAAGAGTCTTATCTTTACCCAAACTGAAGTCTTCTCATATTTTAGGACTCTTGTCCCTTATTCGCTTATCCCGGATTCCGGTATTCTCGCAGACAACCTCGGCCTAGTCGAGATCATCTCAACATCATGATCAGGACACGCGGCACCCTGGCTGGCACTTCAGTGACACCTCGGCCACGTGTCGTCATTCAAAATTTATGTCCCCACGGGAAATTACTAAACAGTAAAAGGTGGGGAAAATAATTACTAAAGGATGTGGGATGTAATTCACATAAAAAATTGCACCTCCAACTTTTTGTAATTATTTTTAGTTCATTAGGCTAAATGGTAATTTCCCCAATTGTAAATTCACTTCGCAAGTACATAATCATTACACACATATTTATTTGAGAGTTTTTGGGGAATGATTTTCCATCGGTTATAACCGGTTAACAAGTGGGTAATGATAAAGACCACTAAAAGTGGTGCTCTAAAGCAGCTACTAATGATGTGGCATCTACTTTTTCAAAAAAAAAAAAAAAAAAAGACACAACACTATGGCAGTGGATGGGACCCACTGCCACATCATTAGTGGTGGCACTAATTAGTGCTCCCACTCATTTTTCATACAGAAAATACTATTTTTGGGTACCACAGTCTGACCCGAGATGGTTAATTGATTGTTGCTTGGGTGGACAGAAACATGGTGAGGAAATGGACAGTTTTTTTTTTTAGTTCTTCCTCAAGTTTAGGGATGACAATAGGGGTTAATGAGGTGGATATTAATTCCCCATCTCCATTCCCCTATAACAAATTTTCCTTATTCTCCATTTTCCATGGATACTATTCTTCCCATCTCTTAATGGATTTGAATTTTCTCCGCCCTAAATAAAAAGGGTATGGCTTCTGTCCAGTCCGGGATCGGTGCTGTTGGGTCCGTAGGGCCCCACCACGGGTCCCGTTTTAATAATCTGAACCGTTCAATGTGTAGAAATCGTCGAGTACTATATGTCTGTAAAAAATCACATTGATCAGATATCGATAGCTATGTGATCAAAACAGTTTTTTGTCAATCGTTAATTTGTTCACCGTCCAATTTTTTTAGTACGAAACTGATTTGATCATATAGCTATCGATATCCAATCAACGTGATTTTTTACAGGCATATAGTACTCGACGAGTTCTACACATTGAAACGGTTCAGATTATCAAAACGGGACCCATGATAAACCCCCACAAATCCAACAGCACGGCCCAATTCGAACTGAACAGAAGCGATACCCAAATAAAATACCCAAGTTTCACAGATTGCAGACTCAAATTGCTCTTCTTTATATTAAAAAAATAAAAATAAAATTATCCCTATAATTGGTACAATAAACTCCCTTCAAAATCAAAATCCAAAAATTCAGCCCGCAGTGAACTCGAATCTTGGTCCATTTACATTATGAGAGAGAAGAATAAAAAAATTGAAACTATACTCCTGCCAAACAGCATCACAATTTCACAAAGCATTCGATAGTTCACAAATGCGAAATACCACAATAAATTTCCAAAATCAAACAAATAATTCCAAAATGCAACATACTTAAGGCGTTGAAGATCAAGAATAGCTCTGGTTGAAGACCAATTATTTGCTGGTAAACCGTGTAACCTCTGAGTAGTCGAAAAATCTCCGAGTCTCTTACATCGAGTTTGCCTGGAGGAGTTGCAACAGAGGCTGACAAAATTGACGAACAAGAGTCCGCTTGTGTTAAAGGCGAAGACTGAAGAAGAAGAAGAAAACGAGGTTTGAGAGACCACCGTAGTAACGCCAATGAAGATCACCGCCGGTAGATCTTTGCCTTCGCAAATCGCCAACCCATATCTTATGAATGAAATCTGTGATGCTACTGTGGGGAAACACAACGTATGGAAAAATGGACGGGTACCCATCCCGACCCATATCCTATAAATATTTTTAAAAATCACTTAATTGACCCGACGGTGGAAAAATATATTTGAATCGGATCTCTGGATATCATAAGGTAGGTTCCCCCATTGCCGTCTCTACTCAGGATGAGTGTTGGTTAGGAAAATGAGCAAACCTTGGTGTATTTTGATTTCTATTTTTTTTTTTTTAAATCACTTAAATGAAATCTGTGATGCTACTGTGGGGAAACACAACGTATGGAAAAATGGACGGGTACCCATCCCGACCCATATCCTATAAATATTTTAAAAAATCACTTAATTGACCCGACGGTGGAAAAATATACTATCGGATCTCTGGATGTCATAAGGTAGGTTCCCCCATTGCCGTCTCTACTCAGGTTGAGTGTTGGTTAGGAAAATGAGTAAACCTTGGTGTATTTTGATTTCTATTTTTTTTTTTTTTAAATCACTTAAATTCCAGATGCCAGGGTCTTGAGGAGACCAAATCCAAGTGCATAGATACTCATACAACTTTTCTAGTCTGGATTTCACATCATTATCCACATCCACAGAGCAGCAGCACTTGCACTGCTAAGAAGAAGAAGGTCCGACAACCAGTCGCAACGGCAGCCGCCATGAGGAGTTCGGATCCGCCGATGGCTAAGAAGGTGAATCACGAGATGGACGAGATGTTTGGCGATGTGAGGGTTGACTCCTACTACTGGCTCCGCGACGATTCTCGTTCTGATCCCGATGTCCTCTCTTATCTCCAACAGGAAAATGATTACACCGACTTCCTCATGTCTGGTACTATCCATTCTATCTCTCTCTCTCTCTTTCTCTATGTGGCTATGGGCCTATATGCCTATACCTATGCCTATGCATTAACCTATGAAGTAAATGTATCTGATTTCATCATTAAGATTGATTATCATCATGGATGACCTCGTGGGAGATTTCCACCTGTTACTTTGACCCCCTGTTTCTTTAGGTCATTTCATTTTTTCATGATCTTTCTTGCCATTTCCCCACTTTTTGAAGACATTGTGCCTGAGGCCACGATCAATGTGTTGGTTTTTGTGTACTCTGACAAGTATCCTGGGTCCAATGGGGGGTTTTGGGGCCTCCCCAAGGGATGGGGTCCAGGGGTTTACTTTCTTTTGGGATACCTTGATAATTTTATGTTGCTTCCACGTTCTCCTAATTTCTATCCTTTATAAATAGAGCAAGGGGCAAATCTTGTATTGTAGAGAGTTGCAATTGTTTGGGACTTTTTTCAAATTAAGTTAAATTAGTAATTTATTTATTAAATTAGGCTTAGTTTGGACGAAATACTCAAACTAGGTTAAAACGTGATTGTGAACCATGCTTTCAACGTTTTTGTGGTTGTCGCGCGGAAATTTTGTGAAATCATTAAGAAAGCGTGGTTTGGAAACACGCTTTTAATTATTTATTTTTTTTCTGAAAGTGTTGTCAGGAACCAAGCTTTTAAGTAAATTTATTTATTTATTTTTTCTGAAAACGTGATTGTGAACCACGCTTTTACTGTTGACCAAAGAAACGTTTAAGAAAAATGTGAAAACATGTTTTGAAAACACGTTTTCAACAAAAAAAAAAATTCAAACCCAGCACTCTCTTCTTTCTCACACTCATACACACACACTCTCTCTCTCACACTGACACACTCACATCCATATATAATTTTTAATATATATAAATTTTATTTTATAAAATTGAGACCAATATTAAATATATATAATAATAATTTATAATAGCAAATAATAATCAACTATATAATTTATATATAATTTTGAAAAAAAATAACTTTTATTGAAAAAATAACTTTTTTTTTTTCAATTAATTTTTTTTTCAAATAAAATTAATTGAAAAAAAAAAATTTGTTAGTAAAATTTTTAAATGGGACCAAAAACAAAATAGGAATTTTTCTCCATTTATATTGCTGGGTAATTTCTGTTCGAAAACAGTCTGGTTTTGTTTTTTGTTCAAAATAGTTTCTGAATTTAATATTTGCAACATAATTGCCGATACAAATAATTTCCAAAATAATGCTGAGTATTTAATAATTTTTGAAAAATATTAATGATGAGTATTTTTATGTTTTATAAAATTGTTTTCGATAAAATTTTCAAAATATAATGATGAGTATTTATTTTATGAAAATTTGAAGTGAACAAAATATTTTTGTGGTGTGAAAAGTTATATCATTTCATAATTCATGTATAATTTTTATTTTCATATTAATACAAAAATTATTATATTGAGAAATCAAAAAATTGGCAAGGCAATCCACGTGGGGCTACCACTTTTGTCCTTGCCCATCTTTTCCTTCACATTAAAAGAATCTTTACATTTGGTTTGAATAAAATATTTCAAAATTGACTACAAACATAAACTAAAAAATATGTTTGACATTAGGATCATACACATTATAATTGAAAAAAAAAATTAATTACAAACATTAATTGGAAAAAAATTTATTTGAAAAAAAATTAATTAAAAAAAAAATATTTGAAAAAAAATTAATTGAAAAAAAAAGTTATTTTTTCAATAAAAGCTATTTTTTTTCAAAATTATATATAAATTATATAGTTGATTATTATTTGCTATTATAAATTATTATTATATATATATTTAATATTGGTCTCAATTTTTTAAAATAAAATTTATATATATTAAAAATTATATATGGATGTGAGTGTGTGAGTGCGTCAGTGAGAGAGTGTGTGTGTGTATGAGTGTGAGAAAGAAGAGAGTGTTGGGTTTGAATTTTTTTTTTTTGTTGAAAACATGTTTTCAAAACATGTTTTCACATTTTTCTTAAAAGTTTCTGTGGTCAACAGTAGAAGCGTGGTTCACAACCACGTTTTCAGAAATTTTTTTTTTACTTAAAAGCGTGGTTCCTAACAACGCTTTCAGAATTTTTTTTTTTAATTAAAAGCGTGGTTTGAAAATACGTTTTTACAATTTCACAAAATTTCCGCGCGACAGCGACAAAAACGTTAAAAGCGTTCCGTCCAAACTAGGCCTAGTTTGGGAAATAGGTTGCTAATTTGGCTTAATTTGGGAAAAGCCCCTAATTGTTTTCCCATTATAGTGAAAACTGTTGCAGCTGTGGACATAGCTCTATTATGGGGGTGAATCATGTAAATTTTTATGTTTCTTGTGTGTGATTGCTTTGATTCGTTTTAGTTTTATTGTTTGCTATTTTTTGTCTCACCCATTTTGGTTAGGAAGAGTTGATTTCCTAACACAATACACTAAAGACAATTAAAGAAAAATGAGGACACCAAAGACAGAAATCGAAGCACCATGGCTTTTATTAAATGAGGAGACTCACATTGCTTGGTCTAGAATAAAGGCCTTATAGGATCTTATTCACTCACATCACATGTAAGAGAGGATGCTTGGTAATTAGCTTCAAGCGGTTTCTCAAATTTGCTCATTCATTTATTGTCAAAAGACCAGTTCGATGGAGGATTCAAGCTTTGGATCCAAGTAAAATGTAGGTTTGGACCTTTTAAATCACATTCCTCTCATTTAAACTGGCCCACACTCAAGTAAGCAAACAAAGCAAAGAAAACAATTGAGAAAGCATGCTACATCCCAAAGCTGAAGTAAGTAAATAGTTAAAAGTCGTGTAAAATTTATCCACACTTGATATAGCATCAAACTTTATCTATCTATTTAGGATTGACATTTCTGGACCGGTCTTCAACTTTAGTGTTGTGAGTAAGGCCTAAATCACCCGATATACCTAGGTGACTAGGCAAATTGTGCTCTAGCACACAAATTGGCATACTGATAGGAAATTCAGGTAAAACCCGTGAATTGAGTACTAACTCAATAACAAGTTGCCATGTGTGCATGTCATCGTAGTCCCAATCAAACTTAATACTTCGCCAAACACCTTCCAATGTACCAAAGTGGTGTTGGTGGCTCATACACGCAACTATAGATGTAGACATCTCACACTTTAACAACTGCACCACTAAAGCACTTTGTAAATAAATGCAACCATATACTCCCTCCGTCCAATAGTGTTTGTCCTTATTTCCAATTTGGGATGTACCCAGTATGTTAAATTTGATGTATAGAGAAATAGAGAGAATTGTAGTATTGATTGATATGTTATGTTTATTACAATGATTCATGATTCCTATATATAGAAGAGGGTGTGTGTGTAGTAGGTAAGGAGTAGGTGAAGTGGAGGTGGTAGTGGTGTAGTGGGTTAGGTTTAGTGGAGTAGGTTTAAGTGGGTGAAGTAGGTGATAGGTTTTAACACAGTATGGTTCTCTTTGAAAAGTGAAAAGAACTTTGTTGTTTGTTGTTTGTTGTTTGTTGTCATGAATTGACCTCATTTTCTTTCCTCTTCAACTCTGATCACACACAATTATGAGTTAGAATTGGAAATGGTTATGTTAATGGTATAGTTGTTGATGGTATGGAATTAGCTTGGTGCAGACATATTTGTTGCAATTATTTATTTATTTTTTTTCCAAATTGTCTCAAGAATTTATTGATTATTTAGGTTGTCCAGTGGGTGCACATTCTGGATAAGTAAATTATCTTTGTTGCTGGAGCAAAATAGAAATGCCATTCCGTTAGTGCATATGTTCTTCTACGTTATGAGAACATTTTGGGGGAGGCCATGTCTCTGACGCATCAAATTTTAAGGCCAGATTGGTTTTGACTTATAGTTGGGGGTAGGACTGTTTATAAAACCGATTAACCCATTCAAACTGACTGAATTGAACTGATCCGACAGTCTATATGGTTGGTTTCTCCAAGTTAAACAGTCGGTGGCAGATGATACCAACCAAAAAAAAACAATTGCCGGTTTGGTCTGCGGATTTGAAGCATTCCACGTTAGTGCATATGTTCTTCTACGTTATGAGAACATTTTGGGGGAGGCCATGTCTCTGACGCATCAAATTTTAAGGCCAGATTGGTTTTGACTTATAGTTGGGGGTAGGACTGTTTATAAAACCGATTAACCCATTCAAACTGACTGAATTGAACTGATCCGACTGTCTATATGGTTGGTTTCTCCAAGTTAAACAGTCGGTGGCAGATGATACCAACCAAAAAAAACAATTGCCGGTTTGGTCTGCGGATTTGAAGCATTCCATCCGACTAAAATCTGACTGACTGAATTATATGTTCTCTGAATGTTTTTACAGGTGGTGCATTCATATTAGTTGAAGAATTTGTCCTTTATCACTTGTTGTACAATTGTCTCATTTTAAATTAATGCTCTTTTTTCTAGATCACAGAGCTGAGACCTTTACTTCATTACTTTATTTTCTTGCTAAGAGAGCCTTATCATTTTCCAATGCGTAAGGTTGATAGCCTTTTTTCTCTCTCCCCTATCCCTCTCTCACTTATCACTCTTATCCTCTCCCTCTCTCTTCCATTATTCTGAAGTTCTATTTACCCCTAGTCTCCTCGCTCTTCGTATCCTCTCATCAAAATTACTCTCACCCTAATCTCATCTCTCTCACTTCTTCTATATCTTTGAGTTTCTATGGCCTTGTTTGGTTTGTTTTTCAGAAATTTTTTTTGGAAAAATTCTCTACAAACAAATTTTCAAGAGTAATCAAACTAAACAAATTTTTCCAAAAAAAATCTTAAAATTTTGTTTGGTTACCTACTTTCCAAAATCACTCTCTCTCATACACATCAAATCAATCACCTTTTTTAAAACTCTCTCCCCAAAATAATTTTATTACAATGATTCATGATTCCTATATATAGAAGAGGGTGAGTGTGTAGTAGGTAAGGAGTAGGTGAAGTGGAGGTGGTAGTGGTGTAGTGGGTTAGGTTTAGTGGAGTAGGTTTAAGTGGGTGAAGTAGGTGATAGGTTTTAACACTCTCTCATACACATCAAATCAATCACTTTTTTTAAAACTCTCTCCCCAAAATAATTTTCCAAAACCATTTCTAAAAAAAGGCAAACCAAACAAGTTTTCGTACTTTTTATCTCAAAAACTACTCTGCAAACACAAACCAAACACACCCTATGTATCTCTCATGGAGGCTGAAGCCATGAAAGGATTTGGTAGTGGTGACGCTGAGATACTTGGCGGAGATGTGTGTTGAGATCGTGATAATGATGCTAGCGGTGAAATGGTGATATTGATGGTGGCAGTGACCATGATCTTCTCATTCTCTCTCCTTCTCTAACTGTCTTTCCCCCCCTCTCTCATCCTCACTCCCCTAGCCCCCCTTTTCGAAATATCCATTGATCTTGATGGTGGTTTGTTGTAGTACCAACTGATGTCCGAAACAATTTTTCTACACCCAAAGTGGCCAGGTTTGTATGATAATTGGGTTGAAAGCAGTTGGCAAAGTCTCCAATCCAAGGTTGTCGGTTCGGGTGATGGTTGGCTAACAAATCTGAACTGGACCGCCTGTGAACAGCCCTAGTTAGGGGGATAGAGCTTGAGTGTTTGTCCAAAATCTTGAAGGTTGGACCATGGTTCAAATTGTGAATTGGGTCAATCCAGTTTTCAGAGAATCAATAACTTGAGGTTAAGGAAAACGTAATGGGAAAAGAAATAGTTAAAAGTCGTGTAAAATTTATCCACACTTGATATAGCATCAAACTTTATCTATCTATTTAGGATTGACATTTCTGGACTGATCTTCAACTTTAGTGTTGTGAGTAAGGCCTAAACCCGATCTACCTAGGTGACTAGGCAAATTGTGCTCTAACACACAAATTGGCATACCGATAGGAAATTCAGGTAAAATCCGTGAATTGAATACTAACTCAATGACAAGTTGCAATGTACCAATCAAACTTAATACTTTGCCAAACACCTTCCAATGTACCAAAGTGGTGTTAGTGGTTCAGACACGCGACCATAGATGTAGACATCTCACACTTTGACAACTGCACCACTAAAGCACTTTGCAAATAAATGCAACCATATACTCCCTCCGTCCAATAGTGTTTGTCCTTATTTCCAATTTGGGATGTACCCAGTATGGTTCTCTTTGAAAAGTGAAAAGAACTTTGTTCTTTGTTGTTTGTTGTCATGAATTGACCTCATTTTCTTTCCTCTTCAACTCTGATCACACACAATTTTGATTTAGAATTGGAAATGGTTATGTTAATGGTATAGTTGTTGATGGTATGGAATTAGCTTGGTGCAGACATATTTGTTGCAATTTATTTTTTTTTCCAGATTGTCTCAAGAATTTATTGATTATTTAGGTTGTCCAGTGGGTGCACATTCTGGATAAGTAAATTATCTTTGTTGCTGGAGCAAAATAGAAATGCCATTCCGTTAGTGCATATGTTCTTCTACGTTATGAGAACATTTTGGGGGATGTCATGACTCTGATGCATCAAATTTTAAGGCCAGATTGGTTTTGACTTATAGTTGGGGGTAGGGCTGTTTATAAAACCAATTAACCCATTCAAACCAACCGAATTGAACTGATCCGACAGTCTATGGTCAGTTTTGCCAAGTTAAACAGTCGGTGGCAGATGATACCAACTAAAAAAAACAATTGCTGGTTCGGTCTGCAGATTTGAAGCATTCCATCCGACTAAAATCCGACTGACTGAATTATATGTTCTCTGAATGTTTTTACAGGTGGTGCATTCATATTAGTTGAAGAATTTGTCCTTTATCACTTGTTATACAATTGTCTCATTTTAAATTAATGCTCTTTTTTCTAGATCAGAGAGCTGAGACCTTTACTTTATTACTTTATTCTCTTGCTAAGAGAGCCTTATCATTTCCAATGCATAAGGTTGACAGCCTCTTTTCTCTCTTCCCTATCCCTCTCTCATTTATCACTCTTATCCTCTCCCTCTCTCTTCCATTATTCTGAAGTTCTATTTACCCCTAGTCTCCTCGCTCTTCGTATCCTCTCATCAAAATTACTCTCACCCTAATCTCATCTCTCTCACTTCTTCTATATCTTTGAGTTTCTATGGCCTTGTTTGGTTTGTTTTTCAGAAATTTTTTTTGGAAAAATTCTCTACAAACAAATTTTCAAGAGTAATCAAACTAAACAAATTTTTCCAAAAAAAATCTTAAAATTTTGTTTGGTTACCTACTTTCCAAAATCACTCTCTCTCATACACATCAAATCAATCACCTTTTTTAAAACTCTCTCCCCAAAATAATTTTCCAAAACCATTTCTGAAAAAAGGCAAACCAAACAAGTTTTCGTACTTTTTATCTCAAAAACTACTCTGCAAACACAAACCAAACACACCCTATGTATCTCTCATGGAGGCTGAAGCCATGAAAGGATTTGGTAGTGGTGACGCTGAGATACTTGGCGGAGATGTGTGTTGAGATCGTGATAATGGTGCTAGCGGTGAAATGGTGATATTGATGGTGGCAGTGATCATGATCTTCTCATTCTCTCTCCTTCTCTAACTGTCTTTCCCCTCTCTCTCTCATCCTCACTCCCCCAGCCCCCCTTTCCTAAATATCCATTGATCTTGATGGTGGTTTGTTGTAGTACCAACTGATGTCTGAAACAATTTTTCTACACCTGAAGTGGCCAGGTTTGAATGATAATTGGGTTCAAATCAGTTGGCAAAGTCTCCAATCCGAGGTTGTTGGTTCGGGTGATGGTTGGCTAACAAATCTGAACTGGACCACCCGTGAACAGCCCTAGTTAGGGGGATAGAGCTTGAAGTTTGGACCATGGTTCAAATTGTGAATTGGGTCAATCCAGTTTTCAGAGAATCAATAACTTGAGGTTAAGGAAAACGTAATGGGAAAAGAAAGAAAATAGAAGCGGAAAAGGCTAACATAAAAGAAAATGGTGGGGGGAAGAGAAGAGAAAGCATGCACAGTTTTACCTTGGTTCTTGAGCACTCTCACCAAAGAGTAGATGCAACACAATTGTCACATACAAGTGATGTGTGCTGATACAGTTAAAAAAGATTAATTTGTACTAGAAGAAGTAGGAGTGCAATATGGTTTAAGAATTATTTCCGGATCCTGTATTAAAACACTTAAACAAGTCATGATTATAATATTTATTAAGGATGTCAACTTATCCTTGAAATGGGTGAGTTTGTAATTGTTCCATTGCTCTTTTAGGGACCAAACACTTAGAAGACCAGATATATGCTGAGATAAGGGGACGAATCAAGGAGGATGACATTTCTGCTCCAATACGCAGGGGGCCTTACCACTACTATGAAAGGACCTTGGAGGGAAAGGAATACATTCAGCATTGCCGCTGCCTAGTATCTGACAATGGGGCTCCACCCTCTATTTATGATGTTTTGCCAACTGGACCAGATGCTCCTCCTGAGCATGTTATACTCGATGAGAATGTAAAGGCTCAAGGGCATGCATTTTATAGCATTGGTGCTTTTGAAGTAAGAGCAACTTCTCTTTTGCATTCATTGTGTTCAAATATAGAACAACTTCTCTTTTGCATTCCTTGTGTTCAAATATTCTGGGTTTTCTCTTTCCATTAGTAGCTCCATTTTAATTCTTACTTTTCTGTCCTTTCCTGTCATTTTTCTTAATCTCCAGGTTAGTCCAAATAATAAGTTGGTAGCATATGCAGAAGACACTAAAGGAGATGAGATCTACCACGTTTATATCATTGATGCTGAGACTGGAACGTGTGTGGGAAAGCCTCTAGTTGGTGTAAAATCAAATATTGAATGGGCAGGTGATGATGCTTTACTTTATGTTACAATGGATGCAACCCTTCGTCCAGAGAAGGTATGATTTTTTAATTTGAACTATGTTTGAGTGAACTCTGATTGCCTCACAACTGCTTGAGCCTCTCTCTCTTATCTTGCTTAATTATTTTATGAGATGTGGACTTGGCTTATAGTTGGTATCTGCTTCTCCCTCTTCCTTACGATTCTAATAGCTTAACTAACAAGATCTAGCTCAATTGGTGTAATGTTGTTTTGCTAGGACGATTGAGATCTTTTTTTCATACTCTTTGTTGCACCATTGAAGGTTTAATAACTAATGCCTAGCTCATTGGTAACAATCAGCACAATCTCTAATCCTCTTCTCTTTTCAACAAGAAGAAATGAAAGGATCTCTATTTGTTCTATTTTGTCTTGTGAAGCACTTGAGAGCTAGAGACCCCTTTTATGACTTACATTTTCATTTCATAATGGTCCTTGTCTTGTATTTGAGTTAAAAAATATCGAGAAGTTCAGATATGTTGTTTTTTGGCTTGTTAATTTGTTTTTCGAAATTGTAAAGTCAAAGCTCTTGTGGAAACCTCAAGTAATCAACCAAGATTGACGATTCATCTTTAGGACTGTTGGTTGATGGGCATTGACGAATTTGTTAATTTGCATGTCCTGGAGGTAACACATGGCACTCATTAAGCGCTTTTGCTACCATACCAGTCGTACACTGTATGTTAGCTAATTTTTATCACGAAGGTGATCAAGTGATTCATTTTCTTTTTAATGAACTTCATTTGTCATCCAGCTCAACCATGCATGTTGAGAAGCAATCCAAACACATAGGCAGCATCCCTAGCCACAAAGTGCCCCCAATGTTGAACATGCGAAGACCAAGGTTACACAATGGAAGGAACCAACCCATCTAACACAAAAGTGACCATAGGCTACAATGTCGCTCATCACGCAACCTGAGTATGACTTGCTGCTATAAAGGCATCTATGATAATAGCTCATTGAATTCTGATGCCCTGAAACCAACTGCAAATGAAACTCAAGCCAATGCAGCTTAAAAGCATCTCACTGAACCAAGAAACCAAACAACGGTCTTGTTATTGTCTTTACATTGTAGCACGCTACCCCTTCCCCCAAAGAGAGACCCATGCAATACTCTTTCACCAGAGGGGCAACTGTTAGGGGGCAACTCTTTTTTCACAGCAAGAGTTTCCCTGTGAGGCGCTCGAACTCCTCTGTTTTCTGTAAATTAGTGCCACCTCTAGAATGAAAAACTCCATTATTCTCTGCACTTTCATCATGTTAAAATTCACCTACTACACACCTACCACTACCACCTACTACACACTCACCGACTTCACCTACTCCATACCTACTACACACTCACCTATTCTCTTCCCACATCCTCTCTTCTATATATAGGAATCATTGTAATATAACATTCAATCAATTAATAATACAATCATTTCTCTTTATACATTAAATTTCTACACATCATTGCACTCATAAATTTCAAATCTCCAAACTACTCTTGATCAAGTAAATTGACCTTCTCTAGCCAAACTTGAGCTTTAACTCCAGATGAAATGATGATATTAGCCCTCTTTCTTCCACCCACCACCTACATTGAATCTTTAGGAAATACACCTCTATTGTTTGTAAGCTTTTCAACCCATGCCATAGAGCTACTTCGGAAGAAGACATATCCATCTATTTACCATTACTTCTAGTATTGTGACCTTATATTTGTGTACTTTTAATTATAGTCACATGCAATTCCATGTACCAAATTTCAGTTTTAGATTGTTGCAACTACTTAGAAAATCTGAGGAAGAAGAATTCCGAAAATATGAGGAAGAAGGAATATATTTCTGTTATATTCAAAACTTCTTATCTTACAAGACCAAATGACACTCCTTATATAGGAGATATTACAAACATCATCATAACCCATTATATGCCACTTACATATTATATATTACCACTATCTACCACTATCTATTATATACATGCCACTATCTACCACCAACAACACTATCATATTCTATACATGCCACTATCTACAACCAACACCACTATCATATTCTATACATACCACTATCTACCACCAACACCACTATCATATTATATACATGCCACCATCTACCACCAACACCACTATCATATTATATACATGCCACCATCTACCACCAACACCACTATCATATTATATACATGCCACCATCTACCACCAACACCACTATCATATTATATACATGCCACCATCTACCACCAACACCACTATCATATTATATACATGCCACCATCTACCACCAACACCACTATCATATTATATACATGCCACTATCTACCACCAACACCACTATCATATTATATACATGCCACTATCTACCACCAACACCACTATCATATTATATACATGCCACTATCTACCACCAACACCACTATCATATTATATACATGCCACTATCTACCACCAACACCACTATCATATTATATACATGCCACTATCTACCACCAACACCACTATCATATTATATACATGCCACTATCTACCACCAACACCACTATCATATTATATACATGCCACTATCTACCACCAACACCACTATCATATTATATACATGCCACTATCTACCACCAACACCACTATCATATTATATACATGCCACTATCTACCACCAACACCACTATCATATTATATACATGCCACTATCTACCACCAACACCACTATCATATTATATACATGCCACTATCTACCACCAACACCACTATCATATTATATACATGCCACTATCTACCACCAACACCACTATCATATTATATACATGCCACTATCTACCACCAACACCACTATCATATTATATACATGCCACTATCTACCACCAACACCACTATCATATTATATACATGCCACTATCTACCACCAACACCACTATCATATTATATACATGCCACTATCTACCACCAACACCACTATCATATTATATACATGCCACTATCTACCACCAACACCACTATCATATTATATACATGCCACTATCTACCACCAACACCACTATCATATTATATACATGCCACTATCTACCACCAACACCACTATCATATTATATACATGCCACTATCTACCACCAACACCACTATCATATTATATACATGCCACTATCTACCACCAACACCACTATCATATTATATACATGCCACTATCTACCACCAACACCACTATCATATTATATACATGCCACTATCTACCACCAACACCACTATCATATTATATACATGCCACTATCTACCACCAACACCACTATCATATTATATACATGCCACTATCTACCACCAACACCACTATCATATTATATACATGCCACTATCTACCACCAACACCACTATCATATTATATACATGCCACTATCTACCACCAACACCACTATCATATTATATACATGCCACTATCTACCACCAACACCACTATCATATTATATACATGCCACTATCTACCACCAACACCACTATCATATTATATACATGCCACTATCTACCACCAACACCACTATCATATTATATACATGCCACTATCTACCACCAACACCACTATCATATTATATACATGCCACTATCTACCACCAACACCACTATCATATTATATACATGCCACTATCTACCACCAACACCACTATCATATTATATACATGCCACTATCTACCACCAACACCACTATCATATTATATACATGCCACTATCTACCACCAACACCACTATCATATTATATACATGCCACTATCTACCACCAACACCACTATCATATTATATACATGCCACTATCTACCACCAACACCACTATCATATTATATACATGCCACTATCTACCACCAACACCACTATCATATTATATACATGCCACTATCTACCACCAACACCACTATCATATTATATACATGCCACTATCTACCACCAACACCACTATCATATTATATACATGCCACTATCTACCACCAACACCACTATCATATTATATACATGCCACTATCTACCACCAACACCACTATCATATTATATACATGCCACTATCTACCACCAACACCACTATCATATTATATACATGCCACTATCTACCACCAACACCACTATCATATTATATACATGCCACTATCTACCACCAACACCACTATCATATTATATACATGCCACTATCTACCACCAACACCACTATCATATTATATACATGCCACTATCTACCACCAACACCACTATCATATTATATACATGCCACTATCTACCACCAACACCACTATCATATTATATACATGCCACTATCTACCACCAACACCACTATCATATTATATACATGCCACTATCTACCACCAACACCACTATCATATTATATACATGCCACTATCTACCACCAACACCACTATCATATTATATACATGCCTTTCCTGTCATTTTTCTTAATCTCCAGGTTAGTCCAAATAATAAGTTGGTAGCATATGCAGAAGACACTAAAGGAGATGAGATCTACCATGTTTACGTCATTGATGCTGAGACTGGAACGTGTTTGGGGAAGCCTCTAGTTGGTGTAACATCAAATATTGAATGGGCTGGTGATGATGCTTTACTTTATGTTACAATGGATGCAACCCTTCGTCCAGAGAAGGTATGATTTTTCAATTTGAACTATGTTTGAGTGAACTCTGATTGCCTCACAACTGCTTGAGCCTTTCTCTCTTATCTTGCTTAATTATTTTATGAGATGTGGACTTGGCTTATAGTTGGTATCTGCTTCTCCCTCTTCCTTACGATTCTAATAGCCTAACTAGCAAGATCTAGCTCAATTGGTGTAATGTTGTTTTGCTGGGCAATTGAGATCTTTTTTTCATACTCTTTGTTGCACCATTGAAGGTTTAATAGCTAATGCCTAGCTCATTGGTAACAATCAGCACAATCTCTAATCCTCTTCTTTTTTCAACAAGAAGAAATGAAAGGATCTCTATTTGTTCTATTTTGTCTTGTGAAGCACTTGAGAGCTAGAGACCCCTTTTATGACTTACATTTTCATTTCATAATGGTCCTTGTCTTGTATTTGAGTTATAAAATATCGAGAAGTTCAGATATGTTGTTTTTTGGCTTGTTAATTTGTTTTTCTAAATTGTAAAGTCAAAGCTCTTGTGGAAACCTCAAGTAATCAACCAAGATTGACGATTCATCTTTAGGACTGTTGGTTGATGGGCATTGAGGAATTTGTTAATTTGCATGTCCTGGAGGTAACACATGGCACTCATTAAGCGCTTTTGCTACCATACCAGTCGTACACTGTATGTTAGCTAATTTTTATCACGAAGGTGATCAAGTAATTCATTTTCTTTTTAATGAACTTTATTTGTCATCCAGCTCAACCATGCATGTTGAGAAGCAATCCAAACACATAGGCAGCATCCCTAGCCACAAAGTGCCCCCAATGTTGAACATGCGAAGACCAAGGTTACACAATGGAAGGAACCAACCCATCTAACACAAAAGTGACCATAGGCTACAATGTCGCTCATCACGCAACCTGAGTATGACTTGCTGCTATAAAGGCATCTATGATAATAGCTCATTGAATTCTGATGCCCTGAAACCAACTGCAAATGAAACTCAAGCCAATGCAACTTAAAAGCATCTCACTGAACCAAGAAACCAAACAACGGTCTTGTTATTGTCTTTACATTGTAGCACGCTACCCCTTCCCCCAAAGAGAGACCCATGCAATACTCTTTCACCAGAGGGGCAACTGTTAGGGGGCAACTCTTTTTTCACAGCAAGAGTTTCCCTGTGAGGCGCTCAAACTCCTCTGTTTTCTGTAAATTAGTGCCACCTCTAGAATGAAAAACTCCATTATTCTCTGCACTTTCATCATTGCACTCATAAATTTCAAATCTCCAAACTACTCTTGATCAAGTAAATTGGCCTTCTCTAGCCAAACTTGAGCTTTAACTCCAGATGAAATGATGATATTAGCCCTCTTTCTTCCACCCACCACCTACATTGAATCTCCACTATCTACCACCAACACCACTATCATATTCTATACATGCCACTATCCTTCACCAACACCACTATCATATTATATACATGCCACTATCTACCACCAACACCATTATCATATTCTATACATGCCACTATCCTTCACCAACACCACTATCATATTATATACATTAACACAAATTTCCAGCACAACTTATGTAATTCAACCAGGAAATAATGCTCTTTGTTTAGTTTACTTGCAAAAGGAGAAATTTCACTTTTGCTTACGAAATTTTCTAAGGGTCCGTTTGATTAGAAAGAAATAAATGGTGGAAAGTGAAAATGATAGAAAGTGAAGAGAAAGAAAAGAAACGAAAAGAAAACATATTTTCTTATGTGAATTTGATTAGGATGAAAATTTTACAAGGAAAAAGAGAGAAATTAAGAATTCTAATTATAAGTAACTACTTTTATAAACAAATTTAAAGTTTCTTGTATTTTTCTGTGTTTTTTGCAACTCAATTACCATGCTATCATGGATTGTACAAGAAAATTAACTTTCTTGTAACTTCCACCACTTTCACGCTAAACCTTCTCATAATTTTTTATTTTTATTTTTTTTCATTTCCCTCACTTTCCACCACTTCCATTCTAAGCAAACTTCGGCTAGAACTTTTCTAATTGGCATGTTTTTCTAATGGTGCTTTTACTATAAGTAGGTGTGGCTACATAACTTGGGGATGGAACAATCAAACGACTTGTGCCTTTATCATGAAAAAGATGACATGTTCTCTGTCAGAGTTGAGGCTTCTGAGAGCAAGAAATTTTTGTTCATTGCATCTGCAAGTAAAACTACAACTTTTGTCTTCTATTTTGACATTTCAAAGCCTGAAAACGGGCTTATGCAATTGACACCTCGGCTAGATGGTATTGACACGTCAGTTAGCCATCGTGGAAATCATTTTTTCATCAAGAGGAGAAGTGACCAGTTTTTCAATTCAGAATTACTAGCATGCCCACTGGACAATATATCTGCAACCTCAGTTCTTATCCCTCATCGGGAAAGGTAATATTAAATCTTTGCTTTCTTACAACTTGGTGGTAGCATTAAATTAGCTCTTATTTTGTTTGTATTATAGTGTAATCTTCATAGTTATAACTTTACTAGTTACAACAATGATATCAACATGAAGGGTTTGAATTGAATATTGTGCACCCATACACGAAGTAACTTTTTTGTGCTAGCAAAGGACACAGTGGATACTTGTAATCCTAAGAAATGTGATCCAAATTAGTGGTCGATCTTAACTTGGTCAAGTAACTGCTCTTCGAACATGAGGATAGCATAGTGGGTGTCGCTGCTCAAAACTGTGTCAAAAGAAATATAAAACATTAATCTCTTGCAGCAAATGGTTTGTGTAGAAGAGTTAGATGTTTTGCTGGAAATTTGTGTTAATGTATATAATAAGATAGTGGCATGTATATAATATGATAGTGGTGTTGGTGGCAGATAGTGACATGTATAGAATATGATAGTGGTGTTGGTGGCAGATAGTGGCATGTATATAATATGATAGTGGTAGATAGTGGTAATATATAATATGTAAGTGGCATATAATGGGTTATAATGATGTTTGTAATATCTCCTATATAAGGAGTGTCATTTGGTCTTGTAAGATAAGAAGTTTTGAATATAACAGAAATATATTCCTTCTTCCTCATATTTTCGGAGTTCTTCTTCCTCATATTTTCTAAGTTGGTATCAGAGCAACAAAAAACACAGCAGCCCTAAAAACGTCATAGCCATGTCGGAAGTCACGTCCGAAACCACTTCAACCCCTGCCGCTGCCATTCCGGTGAAAACGTCCAACTCTCACTCTGTCCAAATTGCCACCAACACAATTATATATTCAAAACTTCTTATCTTACAAGACCAAATGACACTCCTTATATAGGAGATATTACAAACATCATTATAACCCATTATATGCCTCCATCCTAATGACCCGAATGTCCACCCGAGTTCTGGCATCGAAATTTTAGGTAATCCTATTCCTTCTATTTCCGACCTTGATGTTCCTATGTCTCACTTACAAATTACAGATGACCTTCTAGTGCGCTTAGGCAGGATGACCTTTGTCTCCATTCCTATTATCTCTAGTTGTTGACGTGTTAGTGGACAGTTTTGTGGTAGGGAGGGATGAGATCTCTATGTCTCACTTACAAATTACAGATGATATTTGCTTTCGGTTTTGAAGGTTTTTGAGTTGATTTTTGGGTTAAGAGTAAATTTGAGTAATAGTGCATTAGTGGGATCAATGTCCTGCAAGTTAGATTTTAAGGGTTGGTATGACTTTTGGGATGTCCATTGAATCATTGCCTGTGAAGTACCCAAATCTTCCTTTGGGGGGTAGTCTAGGTCTTAAACATTTTGAGCTCCAGTAGTAGAGGAAATTGATGGAAGGTTAGAATGAATGGAAGAGGGGGCGTTATACTTTGGTCCAATTTGTTTTATCTAGTGTGCCTATTTATTGTGGATCTTTGTTTAAAATTCTTACAGAAGATTAATGGAGAAGTGGTTTCTTTACTAAAAAGCAAAGGGGGTCATAATATTTTTGCTCAGTATATTTGCTTGGAAAGTGGTTATGGAGATTTCTCATTGAATGTGATTCTTTATGGAATTATGTTGTTAAAAGTAAGTGTGGAAAGTAGTATAACAATTACTGATAAAAGTGAAGGATGGATTAAAGGATGATTTTCTGATTTTGTGATTAAGCGGTTGCTTAAGATGTTTTATTTGACAATTGTGCTTCCATTGAAACAAGTCATGCTGATTTTTGGTTTGTATCAAGTCCATTGTTATCTCGAAACATTTAGATGTCTTTCGCTTTGACAAGTTGTCCAGTTTTTTGTTAGCTTTCATGTTCTATTGGTGGAGAATTGGGAATGTATTCATGATGTTGTACTTCTAATTTTCCATCTTTGAAAGTGTGACTTAGGATTGACAGTTTTATGACCATGTATATAATGTATAGAATGAAAACTCATTGAAGACATATTGAAAGCACATACACGAGCTCAAAGACACTAAAAGTTCGAATACAAAGAAGCCAAGAGATAATCATGAAGAAATGTCTTCACCAACATGATAAGGCTTAGTATGGACGGCAAGATTCTTGAGGGGGGGGAGTGGGAATGAGATTCCAGGTTGTCATGATTCAACTGTTTGAAACGGATTGGATTGGGAAAGTGATCCCTGATTACCTACTCAAGCTGGAATCACTTTTCCTAGCTAAGCAGGAATCTGATTCTCACACTATGTTAAGATCACATTTATGGAGGAATGTGAACCATTTAAGAGTAAAAACAGTTCTATAATTTTTAAATTTTTATCATTTTCCCATATAGAATTCCTAAGTAAGCCAAATACTTGAACAATGCAGTAGTAATAGGATTCCTGGTAATGAGATTCTTAGTCGTTCCGTTTGATTCCTGTCATTCCAAACAGTCAAAACTGATTAGCAGGAGATATATTTGAGTTTATATTGTCAGAATACCCCTCTCAAGCAAGAAGTGAACATTTATCAAGAGAGTGTTGAATTAGCCCACTCATTCACACAAGCTTGGAATCAAGGAGCTAGTTTGAAAAAGCAAAATATACCAGTCTTGATTGTGTATTTAGACACACGTTACTGTGCACATTTGTGTTGGACTTGGTATTGAATAAGTTGACAATAAGTTTTGGTAAACCTGATGTAATTGTTTGATTGTGATAAGTTGTGGTTGTAGATTAAGGGTGAGGCTAGGAAACCTATTTTTAAAGGATTTGAAAGGTTGAGGGTGACCTTCTAAGTTGTAACACCTGATGTTGAGATAGTGAAGTTTTGTAGGATTGCCTAGGTACAAAACCTGCAAGAATTTCTATTAGGAGGTCCTAGTAGGTTAGGTTGGTAGATTACCTACATAGGAAATTCTGTAGGATTGAACTTTTGTGTCAACCTATTGAAAACCATCTGTAGTGGGAAAAGGAAATACGTAAATCTGACAGGAGTCAGTGTATGTAGGCATGAGTGTTATGCCGAACCACTCTAAATCATGTGTTCATCTCTCTTTAATGTTTGGCTGTAGGCATGAGTGTTATGCCGAACCACTCTAAATCATGTGTTCATCTCTCTTTAATGTTTGGCACTTTAAACTTACATTTGAATTTTGAATTGATGAGATGAGTGTGAACTTGTGTTGTGCCTTCATTTTATATTACTCAATTATGTTCATGAAAGAAGAGTTGAGTATTGTGTAAATTGTGTATAATCAATTTGTTCCAAAGCAACGAATTGTGTATGTCAATGAGTAGTTGAGTTTATACTAATTGATTACTAGAATTGATTGATTAAAAAATTGAAATTAGTTGTGAGCTCACAAACCCTCTCTAATTGGTCGTCGAAGATAAGTTAAATTGTTTTAGGGGTTTAGGGTTTTATCAAACATATGAATACTTGAAATATATCTTAAAAGATTTGAAAGTGACAATATTGACATGCCAAATTGGGTTCGAGGACTTAAAACTAGACAATGCCTTAAAAATAAGGGACAATTACAAATTAACTCCCAAAGTTTGATCCTTATAACAAAATAAATCCTGGACTTTTAATTTTGTCAATTTAAACTCTAAACTTTGATTTGTTTTCAGTTTAAACCATTTGCCTATTTTCCTTAAGTAAAATTGATCGAAAAGGGTATTTTAGTCATTAAATTCAATGAAAATGGTATTTTAGACATTTTATGTACACCTACATTGAGTTTAATGACTTAAATACTATTTTTTCATCAGTTTTACTTAATGAAAATAGATGGATGGTTTAGATTGAAAACAAATCAAAAGATTAGGGTTTAAATTGACAAAATTGAAAACTCAGGGTTTATTTTGTTAAAAGGCTCAAATCTTGAGAGCTTTTTTTTTTTTTTTTTTTTTTTTTGTGGTAATTTTCCCTAAAAATAATGATTGTCCTGTTCAATCCCGTTTAGGACACTTTCAGTATGTACTTGATCATTGACACAGAAAGGTTCAGATACTGACTACCCAAAGTAGTACTAGCTACTGAGTGATGACTACTTATCTTCTCTGTTTACCCCAAAAAAAGAATTTTGCATTGAGGCATTTTGCTGTAGATGACTACAAACTTGTGAAATCTACGAAACTTCTAAATATTAAGTTGTAATGCTGATCAGATAATGATATTGAGAGCTTGTCGTGAATAATGATTGCATGATGTGCTTGTCTTTTTTATTTCTAAAAAGCCAAACTTCATCCTATGTTTGTTAGCAGGTACAACTAGATGATCTATGAGACATGGACACAGACACGGACATGGGACATGACACCGACATGTGGACACACAAATTTTTAAAAAATGAGGGACACGACACGCTGGGAACACGCTCAATATATATAATTTTTATTTATTTATTATATGTAAAATTTTAAAAAAAAATTATTTTAAATTATTTATATTATTTATTTATTTACTTTAATATCAAATATCATTCCCAATTTTTTTCAACAAATAAAAATAATTTATTCTGTATGTTAATGTTTAGCAAACAAGAATATTAAAAAATATAGAAAAAAATAAAGGTTTTTTTTTTAATTACTAAAAACAAAAAAGGTAAAAAAAGAAAAAGAAATAAAAAATAAAAGAGGGAGAGAGACAGTAACACGAAGAGGGGAGAGAGACATAGTCGAACAAAAAAGGAGAGCGAACAAGAGAGACGAACAGAGAGAGAGAGAGAGAGAGAGATGGAAGAAACAAAGAATAGAGCACTGAGTAGATGAATAGGTTCGATGATGAACATAGAGCACCGAATAGAGGGAGAGAGAGAGTCGAACACATAGATTGGAAGAACATACCTCGATCTAGCCTCCTTGATCTAGGTTTTCAACAGGTTCTTCCCCTCTCTTTGTCTCTCTCTCTCTCTCTCTCTTCAATGGGTTAGGGTGTCTCTCTGTCTCCTAGGTTAGGGTTTCTATTTTCAACGTGTCCATAACGTGTCTAAGAGTGTCCGGTTGTGAAATTTTTTTTAAAAAAAAGGGGGACATGTTAGGTAGAGTGTCCGACATGCTAGAAAGCACAGATATGGATACGAGGTACGGATACGATACGATACGATACCGATACGGCGATACAGCAAAACCTAAAAAAGCAGGATACGGGTACGGTTAGGATACGTTTGTAAGGTGTCTCTCTGTCTCCTAGGTTAGGGTTTCTATTTTCAACGTGTCCATAACGTGTCTAAGAGTGTCCGGTTGTGAAATTTAAAAAAAAAAAAAAGGGGACATGTTAGGTAGAGTGTCCGACATGCTAGAAAGCATGGATATGGATACGAGGTACGGATAGGATACGATACGATACCGATACGGCGATACAGCAAAACCTAAAAAAGCAGGATACGGGTACGGCTAGGATACGTTTGTAAAAAATAATAAATAAATAAATTATTAGTAGTGAGTTACACATATGCTCAAGAATGTTGAGAAACCACGGTAATTTTATGATGCAAAATACTAATCTTTAAGAATTAGGTATTAATTTAAGGCAGTAGTTAGTTTAATTTTTAGATTTTCAATAGGTCTTGCAAATATTTCGTTTCAATATCAAGTCTAATATGTTGATATTATAATATCAAAACAATCCACAACTTGACCCTATGCTTTTTTCTTTTGCACTAGTCAAAAATATTCTATACAAGTTTATTTGCGTATTTATTTATTGATAGTTAATTTTACTATTGTTATATCATCTTATTAATCCTTACTTCTATAAAGTTATAGGGGACATGCATGATACAATGAAGATATGTCAATTTGATGAATTCTATTACTTTAACTTACTATGTTATTTTTATAAAAAAAAACTAAGCAAAGTATTGTAAAAATATTCTATTTATCCTTGTAATTATATTATATTATGATGTTATGCAAGAAATGATACAATTCTAATTTCATAAAAGGAATAATATGTGACTTGGAGCATTTGATACTTTAAAATTAATTAAGAAGTATCTGATAATATGTGACTTGGAGCATCCGATACTTCAAAACTAAGTATCCGATACTTCAAAATTAATGAAAAATTAATTAAGAAGTATCCAATACTTTTAATAAGTATCTGATACGTATCCGTAAGTATCCAAGGAGTATCGGTATCCGATACGAATACGTCTTCCTATTTAAAGTATCCGTGCTTCATAGATGACAATGGAAGAAAGAAGTGGATTTCACAGCAACTGGAAAATGGAAATTGTAGAATGTCATACCTCTTCTGTTTCATTGACAAAACGCAATTTATTTTGCACCAATGCAATGAAACACTCTACACCTCTTAACATCGCGCAAGCTACAACACAGGTGGCAAGAGGTAATGCACAGCTTGTTAGAGAACAGGGACGGAACTAAAAGAAGATAATGGTAGCCATGACCTCCTGTTTCTATGAAAAATATTGTTTGACGTGGCATTTTAAATATATATATATATATCATTTTATACATAAAATGACCCCCTAGTATAAAAAATATATATCTCATTCTTCTCTCAACTTGTATTATCTTTCTATTTTGTGCCAAAAAAACTTATTCATCTATTAGAGATTGCTTCAACGATGTTTAATTTTTTTTTATGTATATATATAATTTATATATCATATTCTATATACATGTGTGTTTGTGTATATGGTGAAAAAAAAATTATTTATCTTTTGACCCCTCTGATAATGAAATCTTCGTTCCGTCCCTAATTATCACTCATTGTGATATTAATTGTGACTTATTTTGAATATTATTTTAATTATGATTGAAAAGATTTGTTTTTTTTTTTTTGTTTTTTTTTTTTTTTTTTTTTTTTTTTTTTGTGTTTTTTTTTGTGTGAAAAAGGGAACACAAAAAAAAAAGATAAGATAAATAAATAAAAATTCGATTGTGTGGTGAGGGAGTCGGGGAGGGAGGTGCAAAAGGTGATGAAAAGAAATAAATAAATAAAGAGTGTGATGATGGATATGGGTATAGATGTAATAAAGGAATGAAAAGAAAGAAATAAATAAAGAAAGAAAAGAAGAAAAGAAAATGGGTTTGTGCAAAAGTAGACAGAGTCGGTGCAATATATTATAATAAACATAAATATATATAGATATATATTAAAATAAAAGAAAGTTGAGTGGGTTGATTAAAAAAAAAGGATTGTGTGTTTGAAAATGAAAAATAAAGAAAAGAAAAGAAAGGGGATCATGTGGTGAAAGAAAAAAGGAGTTGTGGGTTTGAAAAAGTAAAGTGAGAGAGGAATTTCGATGCAAGTTTTCTGACTCTTCTCAAAAACAACACAGCAGTTCCACCCACCTTATTTCACACTTTTCTTTTATATATATATATATACTAAAATAATGGACCATCAAACCAAAACCAGAGGTGAAGGCAAAGCCTGTTGTTGAGGAGGTGAAAGATGAAACTACTGAAGCTACAGATGCGCCGGCTGATCCTGCCCCAGCAGAACAGGCTCTAGAGGTGAAGACAGAGGCAGCTGAAGCAACGGATGTTGTAACAATGGTGACGATCAAAGCCGTCAAAGCTCGCCAGATCTTCGACAGCCGTGGAAATCCAACCGTCGAAGTTGATGTCATTTGTAATGATGGACCTTTTGCTAGGGCTGATGTTCCTAGTGGTGCTTCCACAGGTGTTTACGAAGCTTTGGAATTGAGAGATGGGGGTTCAGATTATCTCGGAAAAGGTGTCCTCAAGGCTGTGAATAATGTGAATTCAATCATCGAACCTGCATTGATTGGCAAGGAACCAACAGAACAGACCAAAATCGACAACTTCATGGTGCAAGAACTCGATGGGACAGTTAATGAATGGGGCTGGTGCAAATGCTATATTGGCAGTTTCACTTGCTGTATGTAAAGCAGGAGCTATGAAGTGTTGTTGAAGAATCTGCCATGAAAGAAGAAATCGAGGAAATTTGGGTTTGTCCGGCGGGCGGCCAAGGCGAGATTGCCGCCCGCCGGTGAAACGAAATTACTAGGTTCTTAACCTTGCTCTATACCATGTAAGAAAAATTGATATAGAGAGAAATTGTATGATTACTATTGTTATATCATCTTATTAATCCTTACTTCTATAAAGTTATATGGGACATGCATGATACAATGAAGATATGTCAATTTGATGAATTCTATTACTTTAACTTACTATGTTATTTTTATAAAAAAAACTAAGCAAAGTATTGTAAAAATATTCTATTTATCCTTGTAATTATATTATATTATGATGTTATGCAAGAAATGATACAATTCTAATTTCATAAAAGGAATAATATGTGACTTGGAGCATTTGATACTTCAAAATTAATTAAGAAGTATCTGATAATATGTGACTTGGAGCATCCGATACTTCAAAACTATCAGATACTTCAAAATTAATGAAAAATTAATTAAGAAGTATCCAATACTTTTAATAAGTATCTGATACGTATCCGTAAGTATCCAAGGAGTATCGGTATCCGATACGGATACGTCTTCCTATTTGAAGTATCCGTGCTTCATAGCCGACATGTGTCCACCGCGTGTCTGACTCGTGTCCGTGTCCGACACGTGTTCGTGCTTCATAGTAAATGATTGTAACCATCCTGAATGTATGATCTTGAGGTAATTATGTCTGGTGAAACACCATCCATGTTTTAATCCAAAATAATATTATTTTTCAACCCCAAATTTCATTCATTAATCATTATCTTGCCTTTACAATTGAAGCTACTAAAAGTACATTGTGTTGTCCTATAAAAGAATTGCCACATGAAATGATATACTTTGTTACACAAATTTTCTTTTTTTGTGTTCTTGTCAAACTTTTGCAGTGGTACAAAATTAGGAATGAAAATAAAACATGAGATGAGATGACAATGAAAATATCAATACACGAATTGAGCCTAAGTTGCAACTTGCTCGCTGTAAACTCCAGGCAACACAGCATAATCACTTGATGAGCAAAAGTGAAAAGAAAGTCAGATATATCAAGAAGAAAAATTGGAGAGTTTTTTTCCCTCCCTTAATTTTCTATTAAATCTTGTACTTATTTTATTCAATGCTGATTGCCACTATGTTAAGGCATTTTTTTTTTGTATTTTTTGTATTTTTTGTTTCTGTCTTCATGCTAATCAGGGGCTTCGTATTATTAGAGCTAATTGGCTAAATATAAGCAGTCATCTACCATCAGTTTTTGTGGTTCCAATCCCTATCACACCCACAAAGCAAGAGAAGGAAATGATTATAGCACTACCCCTGTATGGAGTTTCCCAGAATTTATTGGTTAATTCTAAAATTTAATGTGTGACATGGTCATTCCGCAAATTGATCTGATGACTTTGCATATCTGTGGTAGATGTTATGTTAATCATAAAGAATTGCAATATTCTTCCCTGTCAGCATTCCATGTACTTCTCTTGCTGTAGCATTTCAGAGCTTAACTTGTTTTACTTTTGTCCAGTGTAAAGATTCAGGACATACAACTTTTTAATGATCATCTTGTCGTATATGAGCGTGAAAAGGGCCTTCCCAAAGTAACTATATATGGCCTTCCACCCATTGGAGAACCACTTGAAAGGCTTCAAGGTGGTCAGGCTGTTGACTTTATTGATCCTGTTTATTCAGTGGATCCATCAGAATCACAATTTTCTTCCAGCATTTTAAGATTTTTTTATAGCTCATTGACGACACCGGACTCCGTTTATGATTACGATATGAACACAGGGATTTCGGTACTGAAGAAGATTGAAACAGTAAGTCAGCTGATGAGTGATTGTCAAACTTTTAGCAGGTTAAATTGGATTTCAAATTACATGTCTACCTTGTAGGTCATATCATATTTAGCTTAATCAATGTGATTCCTCTCTGCTCTTTGTTAATGGATATAATTTTTCGCATTTCTGTATTTATTCATTAGTGAGTGTGTTGACTGCTTTTCTTAATGTTGTTTCTATTTGTTTCTTATATACTTTCATAGATTTGATTTGTAATACAATATAACATCAACATATCAATCAATAATACATTAATTTTAACATGGTATCAGAGCAAGGTTAACAACTTAACCATTCTGCTTCACCGGCCTCCTCACCTACTACCCAAACCCTCTCCTATATAATGCCACTCTGATTTGTAATACAATATAACATCAACATATCAATCAATAATACATTAATTTTAACATGGTATCAGAGCAAGGTTAACAACTTAACCATTCTGCTTCACCGGCCTCCTCACCTACTACCCAAACCCTCTCCTATATAATGCCACTCTGATTTGTAATACAATATAACATCAACATATCAATCAATAATACATTAATTTTAACAAAACTATATTAGGATGACACTACTCTTTCATTCCATGTTTCCAAAAGAATGGAGGTATTGCATGATGTAACTGTACTGTGATGCTTAACTCCTTTTTATTTTTCATAATCCAAAGTGTTAGGTCCTTGATTGGCAATCCCGACCGACAAGCACATTTTAGTTGTATATTTTCTTTGTTCATGTTTTGGTTTGAGTGTTTGAGAGCTTAGAGTTTGAGTCCTATCCTTAATTCTTTTGAGTCAAATTTGCATACAATTACTTTCTATTTCTAATTTCTTTATTATTTTTATTATTAAATTTTAATATGAAAATGATCTAGGTGAATAATAATGTTAATGGGCAATATTGTCCATTAGAAGCTACTTGAGACTTTTGAAATGTTTGTCACCAAACATTTAAAAACATTTCCTCATGTCAAAATATTTCCAAAATGAACATTCACCAAACAAAATTGTATCCTCTTGTAAGTCCTTACAAAATGACTTTCAACTATAAAAAGCTGTGCCAAACAGGTTCAAGATCTATTCAAAGCAAACTTAAAGACCTTGACAAATATTGTGCTCTCTTATAAAATCTGCAAAAGAGAAATATGATTCAAAAACTTAGCTGTAAGCCAAAAGTGAAAGGAATAAATTAACGCAACTCAGCACCATGTCATCAAAAGTATGCCACCTATCCCTCCATAGACGCATCAAACACAAAGGCACTGCTTTCTAACCGTTTTTCACCCTCTTAACATGGTTAGAATTGAATGACAGATCAGACATGACCCAAGAGATACCAAGCACAGAGAATAATGTGCTCGCTAACTCTGTTCGTGCATCATGGTGAAGCAAAAAGTGATTCATGAACTCTTTCACCTTGCAACAGATGTAAGATCAGTCACGGAGCATTTTCCCCCTTTTCTCTAAGTTTTAAGAATAGAATCAAGAGCTGCATTCCAGATGAAGAAAGAGAACTTGGTAGGGACACCCACCTTCCAAAATGCTCTTCCAAAGGAAAGGGCTATCTGCCCCACCTCGCAAAAAATGATGAGAAGATTTGGCTGAGAATCACCCACCATTGGCTTGTCGTAACATGATGTCCTCGCGATACAGCAACCTGTGTCCCTTATAAGTTATAAGAGCTCAAAGAATTCATTTTGCACTGATACATCTTATGTAGTTTTTTCTGCTAAATTTACCACCTGGCATAAGGTTTTTGCTAACACCTTGTATATTCCCAAAATTTATATTTGTGAGATTCATGGAATTTTTCTTTTTTTCTAGTATATTTTAAGGCCGGTGTGGGATATTAATTTGTGGCACACTGGCAGTAACATTGCCTCAAAGTGTTTAATTTTCTTTTTGTTCCCATTTGTGTATATGGGATATTGTGGCTGTTAGATTGTTGTTTAATTTCCTTTTTGTTTCCCATTAAGTGTATTTGATCTTCCATCAAACCTACTTTTTGTCTGATTTTGTTATGTAAATGTGTTGAAATTTTGGGGAATGTTAGATTTATTTTGTACTTTCTTTCAACTTTTAATGATGTATGTACTTTGGCGCAAGTGGTTCATCTTGGAATTTTTTTTTTGTGAAGATTTTTTCTCTTTGATTTTCCTCTTTATTTATTTATTTATTTTTAAAGTTTCTGCATAGCATGTCTGTGTGCATATTTCACATTTTGCAATAAGCAGATAGATTAAAGATTGTGACTTATTTGTGTGCGACAAATATTACTTCTTTCCTGGTTAAGAAATTTCACTATTGCCATTAAATTCTTTTGTAAGTGAAATATGAAGATTGTGAATCTCACGTGTAATAGTTTCCATACTGTTTGACTAGGTCTTGGGAGGTTTTGATGCCTTAAATTATGTAACCGAAAGGCAATGGGCCACTGCTCCAGATGGAACTCAAATCCCTATATCAATTGTTTATCAAAGAAATATTGTGAAGCTTGATGGGTCTGATCCGTTACTACTTTCTGGTTATGGTTCCTATGAGGTAATACCTGATTTATTGTTCAAATTACTGTCATATATTCAGGCAGGAATTTTATTCTGTTAAGAGACTACATTTTTTAGAACTGGGAAAACTTACGGTCTTATGTCTGATGCCTATGTTTTTGAAAAAATAAAATTTAGGCTTCTTTTCTGTAATGTTCTGGTTATGCATTATGGTGCCCGTTTAGATGTTGAAGTTCTGCTCTGTATTATTGCTTCATCTAATGGCTGCTTATAACTATGAAATATACTATTCATTAACTAATTTTCTTCTCACCTTCTGTTCTTCAGCATCATTATTGTCTTAAAAAATATTGCACTAATTTTGAACATTCACATGTCTTTAACTTTCTAGTTTCCGTGCTTTCTTTGCTAGTCGTAATTCACACAATCAATAGAACCTGTCCAGCGATTATTTTCTAAGACTAAGAGTTTGTATTTAAATGGATTTTTGAGTAATCTTAAAAAGTATATCCAGTTTAGTCCAGCCTGGGAGGGGTAATACCCATAAACTACTGCACAAGCAAATGTGGACGCAGAGTTCCTGGTCCATTATTCTTTGCAAATGAAATGATGCTTCTTGTCGTGCTTGTATTTCAAGATTTTCATTCTAACTTTTACTTGGTGGATGCTGCAAATGGCGTGTTTTCAACAGTATTGTCTGGATCCTGATTTCAAGGCATCAAGACTGTCTTTGTTGGACCGGGGTTTTATTTATGCAATTGCTCACATTCGTGGGGGTGGTGAAATGGGGAGACAGTGGTATGAAGACGGAAAACTGTTGAAGAAGCAAAATACTTTCACAGATTTTATTGCTTGTGCAGAATATCTCATAGAGAAAAGTTACTGTGCAAAAGAAAACTTGTGTATTGAAGGAGGAAGTGCAGGGGGATTGCTTATTGGTGCTGCTCTTAACATGCGGCCTGATTTATTCAAGGTTGCTGTAGCTGAAGTACCTTTTGTGGATGTTTTGACAACAATGCTTGATCCAACTATTCCTCTTACAACGTCAGAGTGGGAGGTCTGCTCTTTCCATTTCGTAGATTATCAACTCTTAAACCTTAATATCCTTTGGTAACTGTTAGTGGCATTACATTTACTGGAATTTGATCTTCAATTTGGAAGATTGGTCCTGGAGATTGATTCTAAAAGGTGATTATCATATGATAATATCTTTTGTCTGTCATCTCTCCAATTCTATTGGCTACATGGAATTAATCTGACCAGATAGTTATGAGCTAATGTCTGTTATTTAAAGCAAAAAGCAAACCGAGGTGACGAGGCCTCTTGAGGCCTAAGCACGAGGCAATGGGGTGAGGGGATGGCTTCATCAAAAGAGGTGAATGCTAAGGAATTTAAAATAAAAAAAATATCCATAAAAAATATAAACTATTGAACCAAATCCAACAATCCAAATTCCGATATCCATTGAAAACTCAAGACACCTAACAAACACCAATAACATTTTAACATTTTGAAATATAAAAATGTGACACAACCAATCATTTAGTTCTACAGTTTCACCAATCCTAAGGTCCTAAAAATCATCAACACTTTACCCTAATACATACAGACACATATGTAGACATAGACAGATGTAGTCATAGACACGGACACATGATACGACACGAATACACCGACATGACAATATTAAAAAAAATGTAAGACATGACGTGTGAGACACGCATGAAATATATAGTTTTATATGTTTATTATATATCATATATATTCAAATTGGTCATTGTTTCTAGTATTTCTTGTTCATTAAGTAGGTATTCAATTTTCTTTTGCCGCATGTCATAATTGGTCTTATCTAGTTTTTTCTCTTCCCTTTTTTGGGTCATTAGATTCTAAGTTATTTTATTGAAACTTGTAGTGTGTTTGATGTGTGTCTAAAGACTCCAAACAATGTCTTGTAATGTGTTTGTTACATGTTTTCCAATTTTTTGAAGCATCTCTGAGTGAAGAAAAATTTAAACCTAAGTAGCACAAATACGGACACGTGATACGAATAATTTACATTTAAAAAAAAAATGTAACACAACACATATTTTACATTTAAAAGCTATATATTACATAACTTAAACACCAAGATAACATTTACATAGCAATTATGTTCTAAACAATGTAAAACAATTATATAACATTGTATTATAAAAGTTTCAAACATATATAGGATACATTACTTGTGTTATGAAGAACGGACAATATTGTTATAATGAAGGGATTCATCATATAGGACATATTTGGAGAGTTTTCAAGAAGCGTCACCAAAGTGTCCACAAAATGTCGCTAAAGTGTCCAATGAGAATATTGAAGAAGTGTCGGACACACTTTTAGGAGTGTCCAAAGAGTGTTGTGTCGGACACGGGTGTCGGACGAGACATGCTTCCTTCATAAAAGTGTCCGTACTTCTTAATTTTACACCTTAGTGGAACATGTTCGGATGTGTGCCTACTGAGTGTCGAGAAGTGTCTGATGAGTGTCATCTTGTGTTGGTGTTTGACATGCAACGCCACCTTGGAAGAGTGTGTGCGTCTTAGTTTAGGGGAGTGGAACCAAAGGACTTTTGACGGAAAGGAAGTACAACTTTTTAAATTGAAAAGTAGATTCTTATCCCCTTTCAATGGTTGGTTCTTAGGCATTATAGATCCATCCTTGAACTAACTTTTGGACCTTTTGGAGATTTTTTAGTAAAGTTTTACATATAAGATGTTTAGGAGTTTTGTTGTACCTGCTTTATAATGTTTATGGGTGGCACCCACTTTGTGCATTTGATAATATTTTGATTAAAAGAACAAAGGATTAAATACCTACTGTAAGGGATGTGGACAGACAGCTTCACGTAATGATTCTTTGTTCATTGTCAATTTTCCTGTTTTATATATGCATGAATTACTGATTCTTTCATAGATCTGTTGGCTGGAAATCCTTTCATATATGCACATCTACTTTGGTGGATCCATCCCTTAATTGGTCCCACTTGTTCCCTTGGGCTAAAAGAGTAGTAAACGTTTATATGTAGAAGACAAAATTGGATAAAAAAATTGGACAAGTAGCTTGGTGATGTTATCTAGTGATGTGATTGGGTGGTTTAAACCAGAACCCAACCCAACTAAAAGGCATATTTAGGAAAAGTTTACTTAATGGCCAGACCCAAGATTGGGCTGCATTTGGTGAATCCTTTGGCACTCAATCCAAGCCGAACCTGGTTCATTGTACTTTTTTTGGTTTGTTTCTCTTGTTGATTATTATACACATGTTTTGGGCAACACATTGTATTTACACATCTAAAGTACAACATTTATAGAATTTAGTGTTACATTTTATTCTACTATTTTTTAGCAATTATGACAAATGTAAAAGGACATATCTCGTCAATTTTAAAAGACTCTTATTTCGCGTAATTATGATGCTGGTACCTAACTTTTTTTATTTATTTTATTCTTGTGTATTCGACATTTGTTGTATTTTCCAAAGGGTAAGAATATTTACTGGGTTATTGTGGTGAAGGAGGGGGAAGAGGTAGGGGGTTTTCTTTGTCTTGTTTATTCAGATGTGTGGATGATGGTTTTTAGTCGGTGTTCACTGGAGTGTATGGGCCGGTGAGAGGGGGATGGGGATGCTTTTTGGGAGGAATTGCAGGATGCTACATTTCGGTGGGGGCCTGCCTTGGTGTGTTGAGGGTGATTTTAATGGGGGTAAGGAGTCTGGAGGAGAAGCTTGGTGGTAGGGCCTATGAGGGTTTTCTCTGCATTTATTGATACGATGGGTTTGCTTGATTTGCCGGTGCAGGGTGGGGACTTTACTTGGTTTGGAGGTCGGGCTATGCCTTGGATTGATCGATTTTTGGTATCTGGGGATTGGGAGGAGCATTTCTCTCAGTCGATTCAGTTGAGGTTGCAGTGTCCGATCTTTGATCATTGGCCAGTGTTGTTAGATAGCGGGGGAGCTCGGGGTGGTCCCTCGCTTTTTCGGTTTGAGAATATGTGGTTACGAGCAGAGGGGTTCCTAGAGATGGTGGGTGGATGGTGGAGGAGCTATAGGGTGGTTGGGATGCTTAACTGTAGATTGGCCTAGAAGTTGAAATTCCTCAAGGCTGATATGAAGAGATGGAATGTAGAGGTGTTTCGCCATTTGGAGGTTTAGAAGGTGAATATCTTAGCAGTCTTTCAGGGGCTGGATGAGAAGGAAGCTGAGGGGAGTTTTTCTGCGGAGGATGCGATTTGCTGGGAGGGGGCTAGGAAAGAGTATGCGCAGGTTGCCCAGATAGAGGAAATCAGTTGTCGTCAGAGATCCAGATGTTTATGGCTGAAAGATGGGGACCGCAATACCAAATTTTTTCATCGAATGGCAAATGCTCATCGGTGGGCAAATCAGATAGGGAAGGTGCGGGTGAATGGGGTGATGTTCTCTTTAGAAGAGGAGGTTAAGACTGGTATAGTGGGTTTTTATCAGCATCTTTATCGGGATGAGAGGGAGGTGTGGAGTCCTGACTTTCGATGGTGTTGGATTTGCTTCTATATCCCAGGCGGATGGCTTGTGCTAGAGAGTCTATTTATTGAAGAGGAGGTGCTGGGCACATTGAGGAGTATGCCGAGTGATAAGGCACCAGGACCAGATGGTTTTCCTATTGCTTTTTTACAGCATTGTTGGGGGGTGGTGAAGGGGGAGGTGATGGCTACGTTTGAGCAATTCTATCAAACAGGGACAGTTTGAGAAGAGTCTTAATGCCACTTTCATAGCATTGATCCCTAAGAAGAGGGGGGGCGGAGGATATTCGAGATTTTCGGCCGATTAGTCTGTTAGGCAGTGTTTATAAGTTATTAGCTAAAAGTCTTGGCTAATAGACTTCGTGCTGTTTTGGAGGGGGTGGTGTCTGAGTCGCAGAATGCTTTTGTGGGTGGTCGTCAGATTCTTGATGCTGTGCTAGTGGCCAATGAGTGTGTGGATTCACGGCTTAGTCAAAGGAAAGGGGGTATCATTTGTAAACTGGATATTGAGAAGGCATATGATAATGTAAATTGGAAGTTTTTGGAGAAAAGTGGAGGAAATGGACGCAGTTTTGCATCTCCATTGTGCGGATGTCGGTCTTGGTGAATGGGACGTCGGCGGGTTTCTTTCCTACTTGGAGAGGTTTACGACAGGGTGATCCTTTGTCTCTTTTATTGTTCATCCTAGTCATGGAGGCCCTGAGCCGTCTAATTTCCAGAGCGGTCCAAGGTGGTTTGTTATTAGGGTTTGAGGTGGGGAGTGGTTCTGCCTCTCTGTTGGTTTCTCATCTTTTCTATGCTGTTGATGCGTTGATTTTATGTGAGGTAGATGTGGATTAGATTGGTTATTTGAGATGTGTGTTGTTGTGTTTTGAGACAGTGTCGGGGTTTCGGGTTAATTTGGCAAAGTCAGAATTGATTCCGGTGGGTGAGGTGGCGCACGTTCCTGTATTGGGGTGCAAGGTGTCCACGTTGCCAGTTTCCTATTTGGGTCTTCCGTTGGGGGCTTTTTTTAAGGAGACTAAGGTATGGGATGGGGTGGTGGATCGTGTTCAAAGGCGGTTGGTGGGGTGGAAGCGTCAGTACTTGTCCAAAGGTGGGTGGCTCACTTTGATCAAAAGTGTCCTATCGAGTATTCCAACATATTTCATGTCTGTGCATGTGATTCCAGCTAGGGTGGCTAGGAGGTTGGAGAAGCTACAAAGGGATTTTTTGTGAGATGGTTGAGGGGAGGGTTTTCATTATCATTTTGTGTCTTGGGCGAGGATTTGTACTCCTAAGGAGAGGGGGGGCCTCGGGGTGAGGAGGTTGGCGGTGTTCAATCGAGCTCTTTTGGGGAAGTGTTTGTGGCGTTTTGTGGTAGAAAGGGATCGCTTGTGGAGGAGGTTGGTGGTGGCAAGTATGGGATGGTTAGAGGGGGGTGGTGTTCAAATAGGGTGAGTCAATCACATGGGTGTATTTTTTGGAAGGGGATTTGGTTGGGGAGGAAGGCCTTTTAGGATAGGGTTCGATTCAAAGTGGGGGTGGGAGATCGGGTTCGCTTTTGAGAAGATATGTGGAATGGCGAGTTGTCTTTGGCGGCCATGTTTCCATTGATTTTTGCTATTGCCGCTGATGTGGAGGAGTTGGTTGCTTTGGTTCGGGTGCGGCAAGGGCATTCATATACGTGGAATCTTCATCTTCATCGTAATGTGCAAGATTGAGAGTTGGACCAACTGGTGGGTTTGTTGGGTTTTCTGTATGAGTTGCAGTTTGGAGGGGATGGGGATGATACTTTATTATGGGAGGGTCCAAGGGATAAAGGGTTTTTTTCGGTGTCGTCGTTTTATGGGATGCTTGAAGGGGGTGGAGTTGGGGTGTTCCCTTGGAAGCACATTTGGGCGGTGGGATCACCGTCCAAGCTTGCTTTCTTTGTTTGGACAGCTGCTTTGGGTCGCATTCTGGCTATTGATAACTTAATTCGGCGACGACATGTGTTGGTAAATTGGTGTTGTATGTGTTGCAGGGATACGGAAACTGTGGATCATTTGTTTGTCCATTGCCTGGTTGTGGTTCAGCTTTGGAATTTGATTGTTGCTTTATTTGGTTTGGTTTGGGTGTAGCCGGGGTTTGTGTTGGGTGTTCTACAAAGTTGGGGTGGGGCTAGGATGGGCAAGAGGCGTCGGAAGGCTTGGGAACTTGCTTCACATTGTTTGTTTTGGTTGATCTGGTTGGAGTGTAATAGGCGAGTTTTTCAAGATTTGAGTCACTCAGCTCTTTGGTTAGAAAGTAGGTTACTTTTGATTTTTGGGTGAAGGGTTTGGTGGATCCTGATGTTTTGACTTTTGTTGATTTTGTGGAAGAGTTGATTAGTTAGTTTAGCGCCCGGTGTGGGGTGTTGGTTTTCCTTTTGTATTATTTGCATCGTCTTGATGCTTTCTTAATTAAGTTTGATTATTTATCCAAAAAAAAATAAAATAAAATTTAGCATTTAACATGTGCAATGGAAAAGAAAATCTATGTCCGAACGGTTCAACCAGCGACTTTGGGTTTGATTGGTTCCAATTTAAAGACTAGGTGAGATTTGGTCAAGGCTTGGGCAGCCACTCCAACCATTTGGGTTGGTTGTGTCTTGGGTTAAAGTTCAACCTAACCCAAATAAGCTATCATATCATTGAAGTTGGGCCAGCATCTTTCTGGGGCTCCATACCTTGGGACTTTATGTTTGTAACTTGTCTCTGGTACTCTGGAGAAACAAACCTTGATTGGGACCCTTTACCATTCTGTATAATGGGCTATTCTTGTTAGCATATTATATTAGCCGAAAGTTTCACTAAGGTCTGTCTGTAATCATTTTGTGCCCTCAGGGATTATCTTGTAATTGACTTTCTACCATATCAAACCAATGTTGTCTTGTGCTTACTAAAATAGGATACAACAGGAATTCAACTTCCTCAATGACAGAACATCTATACTGTTTATATAAAGGCGACAGGTCAATTTCTTGTGAACAACAAAATGAAGTTGTGTAATGCTTTTTTTTAATTCCAAACCTATCCATAAAAAATAATTGTTTTAATGTATGTAAGAAGTTTGTTTGTCTTAACTGTCACCTCACAACAAAATTATAAAATCCATATATTCAAAACCATTCAACATATAACTGCTTCAATTACTTAATTTGATGTATTATATATACGCATTCCGTGTGCCACAATTTCTAGTATCTATTAAAGCTTGGTGAGCCTAAAGAGAGCAAATTGACACACCGAATTACTGGAATGGCACAAACCTATAGCCTGAGATGCTATTGCTATGCATGGTTGCTAGAATCTTATGATTTACGATTTAATTCATACGATTCGATATGAGTTAAAATCAAAATGATTTGATTCGTGTAGTTGAATCTTAAATTGAGTGAATCTTATGATTCACTATGATTTATTGCGATTTGGGCCTGTTTGCATAATGCATGAATAGTGTCATTTTCGCAAAATTAAAAAAGATTAACTAAATATATTGATATACATGATTATATATACACAATTTAGCTATATTGATATTTATTTCATTTTAGGCATGTTGCTCCTGGATTTTTGATCCTCAATGCAAGGATCAATAAATCAAGAATTTATGCGCTGAAAGGAATACGATCCCGATATCTGTGACTCAGGCTATAAGTGTTTGAAAATTTGGAGTCGTCATCTAACATATAATTCGGGTGTGTGAGGTCAACCAAAGCCATTTTTAAGAAAAAAAAGCTTTATTTTAACATTGAAAAAAATATTTTAGAAAAATGCAAGTTTGGGCCTATTGTTGACTTCCATTTTAGTCTTTGAAAATCAGAGATGAGTTTGAGGATTTACTGTCATGAGTAGGGAAGGTGTTAGGAACTCTTCATCTCTATTTCGGTTTTGTTTTTCCAAATCTGTTGATTTCTGAGTCAAGTGAATTTGCCTTGACTTTTGTTTCATATAATGAAAATCATGCAATAATATATATAGCCCATACAATGTGTATTGTGAAAATTGGGTTGAGTAAAATGATTTTTTATTTTGTTTTTTATTTAAATGTTTGCAAGAGTAAAAGAAAAATTTCATGCAACGGCAAGCAATATGATGTTACGTAAATAGACGAAGAGCATGCAATACGATGCAAGCATGCCAATTTTTTATTATGTGGGATAGTTAATAATAATTATGAAATTTTAAAATGGTAAAAAAAAAATGGCTTCAGCATAGCCATACATTGCCAAAAGGGTGGTGTTGGCATAGCCAGACTGAACCAAAAAGATGAGACAGAAAAGTGCAGATTTTAGGATTTGTTATGCAAACAACATGCCGCAATTCAAGTTCCATGGTCTGCAACATTTTTTTATTTTATTTTATTTATTTATTATATAATCTCTCTTGAAATTCAAAAAATAGACCCAGGAACCTATATATAGAGAATATTATGAAGAATGAACCAATTGAGGTATTTTATTTTAAAACCTAAAACAATTTAAGTGATGTATGGTTATTGTTCAAAAGAAAGTTGCAGAATTATTGCGTTTGGCTGACCTGACCCATGTACTGTTAAATCATATGTATTTCACTAAAACAACAATAGATAATTTATGGGTGTAAGTTACTTTAAACTTAGCATCTGTCTGAGAAGATGTTATACATCAAGTTAGTTTAATCTTAAGAATTTGTATTATGACACTAAAATAGCAATAGATAATTCAAGGATTTGATTGGATCCCATTAAAAACTCCATGATCACCAAAATAACAGCAAACCATGCGCAAGTATTGGTTATTTTCATACTGAACACTTTTAGATGTTATATTGTGTCATTGACACTAAAAGTAATTAGGAAAAAAAGGATCAAAATATGTTGAACAAGTTTGTTTCAAGAATTGTAAAAAGTAAATCAAATCGCAAATCAATTGTAAATCGTGTGATTCACCATAAATTTTATCCTAAAATAGATTCATCCATAGATTCATATCGATTTTTGATAAATTGCGAATTGAATTTGTCCAGTATTGTAGATATAATGATTTATAATTTAATTAGTCCAGTATTGTAGATATTGTAACTTTTGATGTTACTTGTATCAAATTTATGTTGGTGGATTAAACAATCTTATTATTCAATATTTTCATAGATGATAACTCTATTGAAGTTGTCTTTTTTGTTAGTAATAATAACTGTTTTGAAATGGGAATAAATATTATTTCTAGTGCAGAACTAGTGCTTCTCTGAACACTTGAACATGACATTGGAATCTCATTACTGCAAACCTTATTGATGGTGATGGAATTCATTCCTGATCCTCATTCATTTCTTACTGACGGTGACAAAATAGGTGAAACCTTTTCCACTAATTTATATTCCATGCTGTAAAACCTGTCCTGTATCCTTCAAACCAGTACTGTATTTTGTTATCTTATAAACGCAAACTAGCATTCAATAAAAGTCCCTAATTTGTCATCATACTGCTATTATATAATTCTGTAACGTTTGGAACATTGTCAGTAAGAAAACAAAGAAAAGTTTTTTTTTGGGTGCAAAAAATAAGAACAAATAATATGTTTTGTTGTAATTTATGTAATATTGATTGTTATATTGATTGATGTATGTTGTGTTTACAATGAGTCCTATATATAGAAGATTAAAGGAGGTAGGTGGAATAGTAGGTGGAGTAGGTGAAGTGGGTGGAGTAGGTGTAGTGGTAGGTTTTGGTACATTTTAACAGCCCCCCGCAAACTCAAGGGGGATATGAAAATCAACAACGAAATTTATTAAAAAAGAAAGTGTGGAGGACAAGAAGTCCTCATACAGTGAAAAAGTTTAATTGGAAACTCTGGTTGGTAATTTTCTATATTTCTATTTGTGGGTTGCTTGATTCACCTGGTGAATGTTGTTGAGGCAAGCAACTAGTTCCAGCATGTATGTTTACCTTAGCGATTGAAAAATGGTTTCAATTTAACCATGTTTTTTCAAAAGTAGACTTGGTGGAATCAATTGGACAGGGAGTACTGAAACTGATCCCCCAGCCAATGTTGCTTGCATTAGGAATGAATTGGATGGCCATTTTCTTCTATTATCTGTTGCAAGATTTTCTTCTCATTGTATTTTAATATGAACTACAATATTTTGTCCAGATACACGTGTTATGTATTCCGAACCTGCCAAGTTTGTGGCAAAGTTGAGAGATATGAAGACTGATGATAACATGCTATTATTCAAATGTGAATTCGGTGCTGGGCACTCTTCAAAGTCTGGAAGGTAATATTCTTGCTTTTGTTAAAAAATCAATTATGTTTTGAAGCTGTAAGTAGAGGTTGCACCAAACAATCTGCATAGACTTCCAAATTAAAATAAGGTATAATCAACTCATTTAAGTTGCAACAAATTGCACTATGCTTTGTCAAATAAGCCCAATTTCTGTCTGGACAGTTGCTCATATGGAACCCTTTGGATATGGAAACTTGATTTTTTGGTGTCATATTATTAAGGGCAAACTTCACTTTACCTCGCTATAGTTTAGGTCATGTGCAGTTTACCCGCCTAACATATGAAAATAATCACATAACTCTCTTGTGGTTTGTAGATTGAAGTGCACCGTTAGACCCGTTAACGATTTAATTAAAAAGACTAAAATAGCTTTGTATTTTCGTCATTTGTTTGGAAGGCAAAGTGCACTTTAACCCCCTGAGCTTTATTCCATGTGCGATTTTCCCCTTTGAAATTTAAAAACGAGCATATAACTCCCTTATGTTTGCAACGTGTTTCACAGTTACTGTTAAGTTAGATAGAATATTTAGCGGTGCATTTCAGTCCACAAACCACGTGGGGGTTATATGATCGTTTCCAAATATTAGGGGGGTAAATTGCACATTGCCCAAATCACAGAGTGGTAAAGTGAAGTTTGCCCTGTTATTAATATGATATTGAAAGAAAATTCCTTGTCACGTCCTGCCGAGTTGTCTACACAATTTTCCTCCTTGAGGTGGACTAGAAGGATGGAGGTTAATGGAAGATTCCAAAATCTCCGAGAAGACTTGAGGGAATTGTGGCAATATTGTACATAATTCTACAACTTGTATAGAATACTCTAGAATAGGTTCTAAATAGTTCTTGGAAGATTGTGGAAGACTCTAAAGGATTCTACACAGCCTATTAATTGTATATTCTAGATGGTTCCTAGAAGGCTAGGGAAAGCTATATAATGGGTGAAGGCTCATTTGCCTCTCAACCCACTTCACATCCATCCAATTTGGAGTGTAAATTCTCTCTAGCAATATAAGTGCATTCTCTCAAACCCTTGTGTGTGCTAATCTTCTCTCCTGTTCACTGAAGGTTAGGCAGACTTCGCATCAATAGCCGAGTTTGTAAGTAGCTAAGTGTCGCATGAAGCACTTGAAAATAACTAAGGCCGTGACGTCCTGCTCTTATTTTGTTGTCTAATATGTGTTCAATTTTTTCAAGTTTTGGAAGCAAATAGTTTGTTCCTCTCTCCACATAATTAACCAATATTAAAAGGGGTTTCTATTTTTGTTCATACGCACATAGAGCAGAGTCTATGCATGATGTATGACAACTTTAGGAAACTTGGCCTAAGCCGCCAATAAGTGTGTTTGATGTGGGTTAGGAGTGGATTCTAGGGCTAGTGTTTTTGAAAGATTGGAAGTGGACCTAATTCGTGCCTAGAGGGGTGAAGAGGCCTAGGAAATATAGGCAATTAAAGTTTTTAATTGCAACTACAATATATATATGTATTAATCCGTAACCAACTGCACATATAGCATAAATAGATCAATACTTGCATGAAATTTACGTGAAAACCTTGAAGACAATGACCCTTGAGGAAAAAACACGAGCATCTTAGTAGTCAAAACAATTCATTGTATCTAAAGTTCAAATACAAGACTCAAATATTAAGTGACTTGCAACCAAATTGGGACACACTTAACCCTTGATATATTGACCCACAATACCCCCTGTTCCATCACCACTTGCTGGTGGCTCTGACGACTGTTGACCTTCTCTTGATTTTGGATTGCACACTATGATTCCTCTTGATGGGATCCAAGAACAAGAGAGCTTGTGTTTCTTCTTGGATCTCTTGGATTCAAGGATTCACATGGATGGTTTGGGGAAATAAGGCCCTCCCCCTTTTTATAGGACACAAAAGAACATTCCAGAGTATACAAGAACAATATATACATGTATAGAATTATGTATAAACTTCTACCATTCTCAACAAGGTTCTAGGAAACTCTAGAAATTTCTATTAACCTCTAGAGCCTTCTAGTGTCTTCTAGAGTGAGCATCCAAATTAGCCAGTCTATGACACTAGGCATTTGCTGCTCAAGATCGTTAGAGGATTGTGGTTTGGAGGCAATCGAGGTTTCCTTGCTTCCTTCTCCTTTGGGAGCAACTGCTCCTTGACTGGTCTTAGAGGGAGGGTTGTTGACTCAATGGATACCTCGAGAAAGGTATCATACCCACGAGCCACATTGTGTCATGATACACCTTTTGAGGTATCATACCTAACTCTACAACTCCCATGATATAAACTCCAAGATATGAATCATGGAATGCAGAGAAGACTTGATAGCTGCAATGTGTCGGTCTAAGGAGTGCTAGCCACGGGTCCATAGATGAGCTTGGTCTTCGACCGTCTTGGAGCATATATAAGCGGTATCCATGCACATTGACAACACAACCATTATCAATTCAGTAACAATGGTCTTGATGACCATTAACTAAGGTTGCCTTTGTTCTCTCATCTGTTTCTAGTGACTTCCAGCTATTGAAGTGACCACTATGTTCTCAGAGGTTAACGATCGCCCACTTCATTACCAAATACCTACACTTAAAAATAAGGATGAAATTGAGACTCAAATCAATCGAAAGCTTCATTTCATAATGCCCTAAATATGTTGCATGTGGAATTCTAAATTAACCCTTTTTTCTTCTCCATGCTCTGCATTGTGTTGCTTCTATGGGGGAGCTATTTACATCAAAATACTATTCACTACTCATGAACAAGTACTTGAACATGTTTCATTTGTTAACTCGTTCACTTCACATATCCAACAGAGAGGAGGGTGTGACCATAATAATACCAATCTAGCTTTTAGCTATGAATGAATGAGTGTATGAGATGGCCCAGTTAGTTTATTGTCATTTTTTTTATGAAATCATGGCGGTTGAAATCTTACGATTCATGATTCGATTCATACAATTTGATATGAGTTTCAACCAAAACGATTTGATTCGTGATGCTGAATCTTAAATTGAGTGAATCTTATGATTCGATTGTGACTCACTACAATTCATTTATGTTCATATAATGCTTAAAACAACGTTGTTTTGCAACAAAAAAAAAAAAAAGAAAAAAAGAAAAAAAAAGAGATCATTTCATTGTATTGATATACATGATTATATATATATAATTTAGTTACATTAATATTTACTTCATTTTAAACATTGTGTATATATAATTATACATTATAGTAAATAAAGTGAATCTTACGATTTACGATTCACTTTTTTAACAAAACTATTTACGATTTAATTCGTGATTTGACAACAATGGATGAAATACCAATTGACATCAAAAAATAGATATAAAATAAGAATATTCAAAGTCTTTTTTAAGAAGGGTTCAATATGTAATTGTATCCACAACATGAGAGGAGCACTTGTCAAGGTAAAGAACTGAAGATGGTGCAAAACCAAGTGCTGGAATTGATATTTACATGCAATCATATTGCCAAACATAGGGCCATTATTTGTTGCAATGGTAGCGATGGTAAAACCCTGGGTTTGCAAGCACATAAACACAATTTTGTGTCTTAGGAACAAGGATAGCCACTTTATAGGGATTCAGCCAGAGGCCAGGTCATTTATGAGTTCACACCTACCCTTTCCTTCACTTTGAATTGATGGGACAATATGAGAGGTGAATGGCATGATTTGTCAACCTAATTATCTTGCCTTTTCTACACAAGATTTGTCACCCTAATAGCATGCTTTTTATTGCATTACTTTGACCTTTGCTTAACAAAAAACATAGAAAAGAAATGTTTGATATTTACAAAAACCTCTCACTTGCAATGAAAACAACTATACACTTACAATTTTTTTGTCAATGGTTCAAGCCTTGCCTGTGGCAAGACTTTCCCCTCCCTCAAGCTATTGTAAGTTTTCTGCATATTCAACTTGTGGCAAGACTGTCCCCTCCCCCAAGCTACTATAAGTTTTTTGTATATTCAACTTGTATCAATTACATCAAGACCGTAGTAGTTTATATAATCCTAATGCCTAAACCAAAAAGGAAATACAGAACCATGCCTAATATATACACAATCATGCCTAATATATATATACACAATCATCCCTTATATGTACACAATCATACCTATATACGATTATATTCTCACACCTCCACTCAAACTCAAGGTGTTTTTGTTAAAACATGGAGAGTTTGTCAAGAAGAAACCGAAAACGAACAATTGTGTGAGTCTGAATAAAGAAGTCAGCAAGTTGTAGAGTCGAAGGGACAAAAGGAAGCAAGATAGAGCCAGACTGGAGGTGCTGATGGACGAAGTGACAATCAATCTCAATGTGCTTCGTTTGTTCACGGAAAACAGTGTTATGGGCAATTTGAATAGCACTGTGGTTGTCACAGTAGAGAGGTCGGAGAGGACTGAGGAACGCCCAAGGCAGAGAGGAGATAACGAAGCCAGACAACCTCAGCAGTAGCATGAGCCATGACATGGTACTCAGCTTCGGCAGTAGAACGGGCAACAACAGTTTGTTTCTTGATTTTTTAAGAAATCAAGGAATCACCAAGAAACAGACAGAAACCAAAAGAGGACTTACGATCAGTAACATCACCAGCCCAATCAGCATCAGCATAAGCCACCAAATCCAAGGAAGAAGTAGAAGACAACAAGCCTTGAAAGATAGCACCCCAGAGATAGCGAAGAATCCGAACCAAAGCAGCCTAATGCGGAGAGCGAGGAGCAGAAACGAACTAGCTAACCATATGAACAGCGTAGGCAAGATTAGGGCGAGTAACGGTCCGATAGACTAAGCAGTCCACAAACTCGCGATACAATGTAGGATCATCCAGTGGGACACCATCAGTAGTGTTAAGCTTTACATTATGCTTAATGAGGGTATCAGAACTCTTAGTGTCAACAAGACTGGCACGGTGAATAACCTCATTGGCATACTTGGCTTGAGACAAAAAGTAACCATTGGGAGAAGAA